GGCCTCCATCTCCCTCCCACGCTACCCAGATCAGCCTAGGTCTGCCCACCCCGCCTCCCACAGCCCTTTGAACCAGCCCTTCCCTACCGTGGGAATGTGCTACAGGAAACATAGCTCCCCTCAGGCTGCTCCCCCGAATGCTTCCGGTGACCCCTGGAACATGTACAAACTCCCAACAATACCCCCAAGTCCATCTGGAACCGCAGCCCCCCCCCTCCTGGCCTCTCTCTATGCTTTGGCCGTGGAGCTGTTAATGCCCTGTGTTCTCCCCCCTCAAGTTCCTCTTGGCTCTCAACATTCAACCATCATTCCCTAAAGGAAGGCTCCTGGCCCAGCCCTAGTAATAAATCCCTTTGGTCTGTGACATCCAAACTGCCCTTTGATGAAGCACACCACGGCACCCCTCTCTCCCCACTATCCACCAGGAGGCGGCCCCATGCCCACCACCCTCACCGCTGCCCTCACACCACTGAGCAGAGGCCTCATGCCCTGCCTGGCCATGCCAACCCATCCTTCGACTCTCAGTCACCTATATCTGGGGAGTAGCCATCCCTGAGCACCTAGACTTGGGGGGCACATTCCTTTATATGCACCCCAACACCTCTGTAGCATTCCTCACAGCTGAGAAACTGCTTTTAATCTGTCTCTCCTATGTGATTTCCTATTTTTGCCCCAGCACCTAAAATAATGCTGGAGGTTGGCATACGAGAATTTTTATGAGTTTTATAAAACTCATATAAAACTGCCTGCAAAATGCTATGTGCATTTTGAGAGAACCATTCTGTCATTCTGTGGGCATTTCAAGGGGACATAAAGAGTTGAAAGAGGTTAAGCTTCCTTAGTACCTAACATTCCCTCAGAACGTCACTGCCCACCTCCTACTGTGTAAAACCACCTCCCTTAGAATAAACTCCCAAGACAGCAAGCACCGCTGTTCCACTCACGGGTGCATCCCAGTGACGTACCTGACACCTGCAGAGGTGCTGGCACATTCTAGTTCCAGATGCAGGTGCGGAATGGCCAGACTCGGGCCACGGCCACAGCTGTGGGCGCTACCTAACCAATGACCCTGAAACGGACTAGTCTCAAACAGTCCTGGTCATCCAGTTCTCTAGGCCAGGAGTCAGGGAACAGCTCAGCTGGTGCCTCTGCTTCAGGAGCTTTCTTCAGGGGCCGAGTACCGATAGGGCTGTGAGCATCTGGAAGCCAGCGTGGAGGACCGCATCCCAGCTCCCTCACGTGGCCGGTGGCGGATGGCCGACGGTGGGAGTCAGCCCCTCGCCACAGGGGCCTCTCCTAGGCCAGGCTCACAGCTTGGACATTTGCTTCATCACAATCAGCAAGGGGGAAGGGAGGAGAGACAGTGTGCTAACAAGGCAGCCGCCGTGGCCGTTTGTACCTTAGCCCTGGGAGTGCCATCCCATCACGTTTGCTGTGTTCTGTTGTTAAAAGCAAGTCTCTAGGCCTCATGCGCACTCAAGGGAAGGGGCTCACATGGCAGGGGGAGCAGGCAGGTGGATGGGCAGTCTCAGAACACTGCGCCTGGCTCACTGGCCACCCTGAGGAGGTACGGACGGAAGGCCGACAGGTGGCACTGATAGAGACAAGACGCAATGGGCCGGCCGCGCCTATCTGCCAGCAGGCCCGTGCCAAGCAGGGGATGTGGGCTGGCCGGCCAGCGCTCACTGTGACAGAAGCCGAAGTCTAGATTTTTTAAATTATTTTATTATTTTATTTTTTTTAAAGATTTATTTATTTGTGCATACAGAACTGGGGTACAGGCCAGAGGCT